TGTTTTCATGGGTCTGAGAATATTTTTTTTTGCTGCTGCTGGAGCGAGGTAATTAAGTAGTTTTTACACAAGAAAGAAAAAATCAACCTCTGCAATTGCAAAGAGGAACTCAGAACTTTGAAACTTTATTGGTCCATCTTCAGATGATAAACATAATACATTTAAATGTATTATGGTTTTAGGAATAGACCTCRCAAGCAATTGCTGAGCATTTAAAGTTAGAACTCTCAACATTCAACGCTGCTGYTTGAGTTTATGTATCACCAGGAAATCTCTCACTTCCAAACGCCAAGCTTTTAAAAATGAGACTATACAAGATACAGAGAGAGCCCAGCCTGAATTTAAAAAATAGCAGGACAGGAAAAAAACCTGTTGAACACTGAGAACTAGTCCTCCCAGGTGTCATTAGGCAAAGCAGGAGAAGATTGTTTATGTATATATATATATATATATTTGTATATTATAATTCCTTTTCAGTGTAGGGCTAGGTTTCCACGCATCGAGATGAAGGTTCATGAGCACAACTTACCTGGGCTCATTTAGAGATAACAATAAAATTTTAAGTACCTACTAAAGAAAAAAAAGCTTAACTGATGCTGGTTCTATTTTGGTATTATAAAAAGTTCTAAATATAAACTTATCACAGTCAAGATTCAGATCAGATAGTATGTACACCTTTCCATAAATCATTTATCTCCTGCAAGATATCATCTGCTGCTGGCAGCAGGCTGGGATATTGGAATGAGGATAAATGCTTTCTTTAGAAACATAGGGGTTTTCAGTAACTTTCAAGTAGATTTAGAACTCCTGTGGCTGAAAAAGTAAATGTATGTTTATCAAAGCAAAATCCATATATTTGAGATGCTTTGCTCAGTGGGATCCAGGCCCAAGAGKGGAGCTTCTAGGGACAAATTCAACATAAATGGGAAAATTCATTCTCTGATTTCCAGCCCAGTGGATGGCACAGCTGTGGAGAAACACAAGTTTTCTCTCATGAAACTTCRGATGGGTGTGCCTTTAATACAGACKTYAACCATGACTGTATGAAATTTTGYATAAATATAGAAAGCAAAGGTGGACTGAGACAATGGATAGCCACAGGTAGCACCAGATTAGTGTGGGGGTGAAGAGAAGTTGAGGAGGGGGGAAAAAAAGGAGAGATGCCCTGCTTTATCAAAAGCTAGGAGGACTGCTTTTCTTAAAARAGCAACTTTATCTGTGGGAGGAAGAATCCCACTGTCCTGTTTCAGCCTTCAGCTGAGACAGAGCCAAGGCAAAGCAGGGGAAGGGAGAATCAAGAGAGGGGTCTGAGGAAAGGAGAAAAGAAAAAGATAAGCTAAAGCATTCAGTGAGCTGAGAGAACAAAATTGAAAGCAGGTTTAGGGGTGGCAGGAGGTTTCAAAGTCAATTCACATCAATGAGGAGCTGGGAAAAGCAAAGTCAGGCTGAGGGGCTGAGTCCATCCCACAGGGCAGGGCCGGCTCTGAGCCCCACACAGCTGCTGTCCCGGGGACAGCACAGGGCAGCAGCGAGGTTTACACTAAAATACACTTTAAAATACTGTCTTTTAAMCAAACATGAACCAACAGTAGCCTCACTGGGCTGTGGGCAGTGAGGGGAAGTCTAAGCAAAGCTACAACGGATGCAGGAACAAGGATGTTCCTGATGCAGGAACAAGGTAGCACCTCAGCACAACATGGCCACCCCATCCCTCAGCCTCACCTCAGCTCTCCCATGGCCACAGGCACGGTCATGGAACTCTGTGAGCCACAGGACATCGCTCTGAGGGTCACACACCCTGTCCTGTCCAACAGCCTTGTCCTGCGACGATTCTTCACCACAGCCGCACACCAGGCAGATCACGGGGGCTGCGTGTGCATGAGGGCAAAAATATGGGAAACTGAGCTAGGAGTGTGTGAGGGAAAAAAAGGCAGGAAATGAAACTGGGGGTACATGAGGGGAAAAAAGGCAGGAAATGGGGCTGGGGTTGTGTGAGGGGAAAAGAATCAGGAAACAGGTTCAACCAAGCAGTGTCTGAGGGAAAAAAATTCCAATCCCCTGGCCTCACTTGGGCTTAGTTGTTTTTTATCTTATTATTATTATCATCATCATCATCATCATCATTAATGCTATACAGTTATCAATGAGGCTACCCGACTGTCACATCTCTTTTTTCACATTAACACCCAGGATCACCCAAGAGGTTGAAAATCCAGGCAGTCCTCACAGATAAATTTATTTTGCAGGTTATTTTAAGCAGCCAGGCCAAAGGTGCAGGAGGAATCCCAGACATACACTCCACGCTTTTTCCCGGAGCAATGCAATGACTCCTGTCCCATACTCATAAGTTTGGCTGCTTTTCGACAAAGGGAATGAAGCTCCAAGGGCTGTGTGCCAGCCCAGCTCCATGGATTGGGACCAGCCTTTATCCCAAGGCTGTGGTAACCTCTGCTGGCAGCTCCTGGCTGCTACACCGGATGAAATGCTGCTGGAGGTGAGCTTGTAGTTGAACAGACAAAAAGACAGCAGACGAGTTTTACATTTGCTTGCTCATACTTTTGTATGCATTTGCTACTACAGAGGATTGGAATTTTTTTTAATTGAATGTGTATTTTTAAGGCATCGGTGATTTAGATAAATYAGGACCCTGCTCATCCAAGTATGAACATGTTTATTTCCTCAGACATTATAACCAAGCAGGTCTGTAACCGTAGTTTGCAGCTAATCTACATTTTTCTGTTTGAAGATGTGGATCCAGCACAGYGAGTGTCATCTGACATACCTGAGGGATGCATTTCCTGCATAGGATAATGTCAGTAATGCTACCTTTTTTCAGTGTTTAAACAAACATGTCATACCTGTGACTTACACCCAACCTTATCACACTTCTTCAAATGGTGATATTTCACATCCATGTAAGACAGGCACTATTCATAGTAATAAATACATTAAAGGCTCCAGGTGAGGCCATGGTCAAAGTTGTAGGAAGTACAAATGTTGTCTTTTTGCTCTGAGGAATTTAAAATCTAAACAGATTTTGGGCAGGACAGGAAGAAAATGCAGGTAATGGATATAGGATTCCCACTTACCATGATTCCTGTTAGTGTGCCTGACTCCGTAGGYGCAGGCAGAGAGATGGAATATATATGAGGAAAAAATTAGAGCCTGGGTTTTATTGGAARCTTTCATTAAATTGGCAAGAAATCAGGTGCTAGTCTTCATTTCAACTATTAACAGCAGAAAGAGATTGTCATCTCATCCATGGAAAACCTAACACTTGTCTCCCGTTCCATTTGCAACTATAGCTTGTGGTCTTCTATCTCCTTAATTGAAATACATAATAGAAAAGTTTCTATGAGGCAAGATTTTAGCCAGAATTAATTTCTTCATTTGCTCTACTCCGCAGCTGTCATTTTACCATAGGCAAAACAGCAGACCACAGCAACAAACATGCTTCAGTCTGAAGGCATCCTGAGAATTCTTGCTTAAGACAYCTAAGCGAGACATCTACCAAAACCATGATTTCTAAGAAAAATCTGGGGCTGTACAACAGCCTCAAAATGGAAAACATCATGTAGACAATGTGCATGTTGCTACAAGTCAGACCTTAATTGACCAAAAATATTAGATAGAGCTGTCTGTTTAATTAGACACGGATCAAAAATGAAGAACTAAATACTTTCCCATCATTCCCTGCAGGTTTTGAAGTTGGCATTTCCCCCCCTCTGCATATAGTTAGTTGTTTGCCTCGGGTTGTAAAGAAATGCAGAGGGCTGTTATTAAAGCACTGATAATTTGCTGAACTCCATCTTTTGTGGAACTTGCTGAGTTAGAAAATTCCTTTTCACTTCCTCCCCCACCTCTCCTTGACTAGAACTGAAGAACAAACATCACATTATGGTGCTAGGTAAAAGGATCAACTGTGTTTGCAGTTAAGTGACTGGCACAAGACAGAACAAATCCTACAGCTCAAGCCTGTCCAGCTAAATGATGAAGGAAATAAAAAAAGCATTTGCTTTTGAAGAGAATTTCAGAACAAAGACTCATGCTTAGGATTTGCTGTGCTTTAGTGCTTTATATTCAGAAATTGACTCCCAGTAGTTTGTTAGAAAGTTCTCCAAGTGATCAGAGCCTGGAGATAAAGAACTGCAAGGAGTGAGATTCTGAGAACGCAGAAAATACAACCCCAACTCATCAACTGTTCAGTGGTGAACTTCAGTCAGAGCTCTGCGTTTGCCATTTCCGCACTCCAGCCCATGACAGGAAGGATTTTTATCCAGTTGTCCATGTACCATGCCAGTGAAGCAGTAATGGGTGCTTTCAAGGCCAATGGCTCAAGTTAAAATTCAGYAAAGCAGGCAGTTAGAACCTTCCTCTTCAGCCACAGCTTGCCATTTCCAAATTGGTACAGCTAAATTTTATACCTGTTCCTCATTACATGTCAACTGCTATCATTTTTCACCAGCATTAATATTCCTGTAAACTACAGAAATCAGGCCGTACAGAGCCCATCCAATTATCCCCATCACTGACCTCAGTGCAGATAAGCAGAGCTACTTGCTCCATGGTGCTCTCATTAAATCTGCTGCCAAACACCCATCAACCAGCCCAGCCTCYCAGCTGACAAATAAAAAGGAGATGTCAGACACCCACAGCATCACCGGGCTTGCTACGAGAGGAATGGACATCACTTAAACCACACAGAAGTATTATCAGGAAGCACAGATTCTGACATTGCTCATCCTCCCAACATGAAGCAATCATTTGCATTCCTTCCCCTGCTGAATCCACTTTTGCAAAGGGTCTGATCTTTCTGTTAATCATTGACAGAACCATGCTCATGTCTTAGATTAAAATGAAATAGATTTTCTGTTTGCCTCTACTTGCTTGCCTTTTCCCACACATGAATTGAAGTCCTCCTCCGGTCCACCGCATTCTTCAAACCTCCATTTTGGAATAATTGCTTTGTAGTTCAAAGAAAGACATAAGAACAGGCAGTATCTTGGAAAACAAATTTTTAATGATTTAACATATAGTACAGACACAGTTGAACAGCTCAGCTACCAAGGCGGGAGGATGCAGTTTCTGTCCCATTGGATGGACAATGGTAACAATGCACTTCTGATCACATCCTGTTTTTCTAGGAGAGAAAAGGCCAGGAATTCTCTAAGTTGTCCAAATTATGTTAGTTCTTGATTTCTTATGATTTCTTACAATTACTGCTTCCAGCAGTAATTCACCTGCTAAGGAATTACCATCAAGTTGGAAAAGAAAGCAAGAGCAAGCCATCAGCATCTTGACCTCATCAGCCGTGGTGCAAACACACAAAGTGCTGGAACGCATCTCAGCAGGAATGATATGATAGACCAAGCTGATGGCCTTCCTCAGGRAAATGATTATGAAGTGCTGGAAAGGGGTGAAGAATCTGCTTAACATTGAAAAGAGAAGCAACCTCTGCTACCCTCTGAAGACAGCATTTCACACTGCATCCTCACACTATACCATGGCTGCTGCAGCAAGCTGCCATAGGAGGGCAGCAAAGGGRAGACAGATTTTCAGTTGGATGAACTGCTAATGCTAAAGCTCTCAAGCTTTTGGAAAACCAAGATTTCCAGACAGTGTGCTGATGGAACCATTATTTTGCTTGACAACTCCTGGGAAAGAACAAAATCACCAAGAAGTGGATTTTATCAGATGGTTRGGTACTACTTCTTGTTTATATCATATGCAATTGCAATAGAATTCTACAGATCTTTTGCAGCAGGATATTCCACCACTGTCTGTTTGTGTTTTTTATCTTCCATGCCTCTATAGACATTTATCTACATTTATTTTTTATTTTATTCTGTTTAAGCAAGCATACACAAAGTCAAAATCATGGGGGAAATGAATGGGATAAAACAAGAGAAATGAGCCTCTGCATATAGAGAACAGCCCAGTTTAGTCTAGCACTTGGACTTTGCAGKGGGAGAAGAAATTTTACAGGTTCTGTACCCGCCTTTTCTCTGTTTTGTGGCATTTAGAAAGAGAGAGTCAAAATTGCAACTTTAGGAGAAACTGTGGGAGAACCAAAGCTGTTGTAATGTCATTCTGATCAAGCCACAATTCCAGAGTGGCAAGTAYGTCAAACAGCAAATCAAAAGCATCATGACTTTAGCTGAGCTCACACAACACAGCTGTCCTCAAAGAAGGGCTCGTGCCACATTCTGACATCCTAATTACTGCRTGCACACGGACATCATTAAACTGAAGTCCTGCAACAACTCCACCCTTTTCCCTCCTGCACAACCAGGAGTAAAGCACATTTGAAACACCAAGGCCTGAACAAGTTGAAGCAAACAAATCTTCCCTGCTCCCTTGTCAGCAAGTGGACCAGCAAAGAGCTGCTCACAAAACTAAGGCTCCTCTTTGAGGAAACTGCTGCAGAGTAACAAGGGAAGTGTTTACAGACAAYAAACATTCCATCCTAGGCAGATCCCTGCTCTTCTCTTGTGCTATGGGACTTTGGCMGAAGAACAACTCCATTGGAGTTCTGAATGGCTTAAACTCACTAAGAGGAACATAAGTAATATAGTGACAAATCCCAAAACAATTCCTTTAGACCAAGGAGGAAAAAAAAACCCTACCAACTTTAGTCAGGATCTAAAACATCCCTTCCAGCTGGCACAGCAAAACAGGGACTGAAAGGCATCCACAACAGGCTATGCAAAGCATCGATACTTCCAGCTAGTGATCCATATAAAATGAATAAATAATTCATAATTACATATGTAGTGTACACCATGCATGCCAAGAAGGGTACCAGAAAGAGAAGTACAGCAGGCATGCTTTGCTCTCTAAAAGTAAAAATCCTCCAGCTACWACAGTCACTCAGGAAAGTCTCTGGACTGCAGAGACACAACTGAACCTCCACCAACAGAGCCACATTAGATATTTTTCCCATGAYGTTCTATAGCCTAGATTGACTCCATGATTCCTGAAATTTAGAGGAAGTATTCAAAGAAAGCACTGGCACTGCAGCACAGTACTAGCACTCTAAAGCAGATGAAGAAAGCAAGACACAGTCATGAAGAACTTAAGTTCCTTACTTCCTCTGTTCACCTCTGGCTTTGCCCCTACATAAAACACGAGCTTTTTACACTGAGGCTTTGCTAAAGCAACAGCTGTCATCTTGTTCTTCTGGATTCAAGTCTCCAGCTCCTTCCCCCCGCTGCTCAGATCCTGCAGCTCTCAAACAGGCAGGAGCTCCGGGGGATACTCGCCATAGCAGTACTTGGCAATTGGGTCTCTGTAGGTGTTCTCATGCTGCACACTCTGCCAGGAAAACAAGAATAAGCTTTATTCAATCATAAAAAAAATAGGTATGTTTAGACAGTATCATCAAACGTTCTAAGCAAACAGAGCACAAATAAGTTGCTACTTGAAATGTGTGTGTTTCTCTTGATAAAAGKTAGACTTCAGATACTATGGGCAAAAAAATCCAGTAACTTTGAAGACATTTGGAACTCTATGCTTTGTTTGCAGTCCATCCCTATCGCTACATGAAATACTGAAGCTGCAGGACATTGCTGACAGCACTAAGAGGGCGAGAGCTTGCTTAGACAAAAACTTCTAATAAAATCCCAAGAGTAACAGAAGTTCAAGTTTTCCTTAATAAACAAATAAATCACAACATAGCTTCKGAGTTACTACACAGATGATTGTCAGCGCATGGTTAAGTCTCCAACTGTACCATAAAACAATGCATTCTGAGGCTACTGGGAACAGCTCTCACCGTTTTCATCCTAACGAGATCCTCCCCAGAAGAACTGGGATCTTCAAGTCATTGAACTCAGCCTCTTTTTAGTTAAACACCTTTCTTCTAAAGAAAATGTGCAACTTTTCCTGTACTAAGTAAGTGCTTTGCCTTCAGACTGGCTCTCAGCAACAGTTTCAACTTTTATGAAAATGCCCATGTACAGAAAAGTACAACACACCAGCCATTCATTGGATTGAGCTGCATTTTCAAAGGGCACTTTTYTAGCCCTGGACATGGGGCTTGTGCCTTACCTGTGATGAAGTCCTACATTTGGCCAGACACAGCTCAAAGTGATCTTCCACTGCCATGAAGAGGTTTTGGAAAGCAATTGCTGCCCGGTTCAAGAAACGCTCCAGGAGATGTTGCTGAAGTGGTCAGCAGAGAGAAGACAAAAACCAGAAACTCTCCTTCAACAAGGAGTAATCAAAGCCCAGCCTAACCCACACAGCTCAGGTATTAGAGGAATAATAAGCAACTCCACTTAGGATTGCTAGCAAGCACTGAAAGGCTAATGCCTTAYAGAACCCCAGCAGCAGGAAAACACCTAAGAGAAAATAACTGAATCTGGGGAAGTGCCAGTTATAAAACTAATACTGGCTGGAGTAACTTTTCTGCAATCATTTCCCATCAGCAAACACAATTCACCTGAAGATGAAACATTTTGCAAGGCTCCACGTATTTCCTCCCAAAGGTGGGAAGGAGGAAATTTGTTAAAGCTTTATTTTTAGCTATATGGTCCTTGGAGGATTTCCTCATCCTTCCAAGAAAAGAAACTGTCCCTCTAAGGAAAAAGCTCCTCACAAGGAAGCACCTTTAGCCACAGAGGAACCTGAGCAGCTGAGAACAGCTGGAAAGCAGGAGGAAGTCCATGTACCTTGCTGGGCTGCAGGCAGCAGGACACGCAGTACTCGTAGATGCTGCAGCAGCCGTTGGGAAGGCAGCTGTCACAGCTGTACAGCTTCGTGCTGGGCAYGTTCACATTGCAGCAGCCATTCACCAGCAGGTCCTTCCTCTCACAGATGTAGCCTGGAAAACAGCAATAGGATAACAACTGGCAAAGCACACCCCTCTGCATGCTCTACAAAAACCTGTAGTAAGAATCAGATTACTTAAGAACAGGTTTGCTTATCATGTAGTAGATTATGATCCCACTCAGTCTGAACAAAAGTCCCAAGTAKCCGTTCATTGAAATGGAGAGCAGCATTTCAAACAGCCTGGTGTGATCTGCACAACTATTACATCTTACTCTAATATGTGCTGTACATACAGTATGAGTATTTACATGCAGAATATTTAAGTTCTGATTTCTTTCTGGCATAGTTCCTTGTTGTGAAAKGGGGAAGGAGATTGGCATTGATTATATTGGAAAAAAAAATAACACAAATTTTTTTCAATGGGTCTGTGTCTGGATAATTCTCTTTACAGTTCAATATGAAGATATTTAGATTTAGCCATGCAGGATTGCTGAAATATTAATTGTTGAGTGAAATCCTTAATAGTATAGAAACATGGTGTATATCCTTAYGGAAACTGTACTACCACAGCATTAGACAGGGAGAGATTTGTAATTTTTAGAGAGCTTATGAACTGGCACAAAGCTTAAGTCAGGTAGTGCCAAATTTAACATTGAAGCAAATCACAAGATGTGGTGGGTTTTCTACAGCCTTGATTTGTGGTCAAGAAAGACCCAGGGTCTAAGCAACAAGCACAGTGAGGGCAGGAAAGAGTCTTGAACTTCAACCACTAAAACAAGTGGTTAATAACCTCGGGTTTACAAGGGTCAGATGAGCTTGTTAAYCGTGACTGAGCACTAATTACAGCAGGGCTGAGCTGCCTCCAYACAAGGCCAATAAGGTTTCCTCAATTATTCTCCCTAACACCTCTGACAGCAGGAATACACTGCAGGGAGACAAACAACTCTGCCAGCAACCACAGTAAACTGAGCAGGACTCAACGTTTGGGTTCTGTGCAAAGGTAACCGGAATTCTTTGACTCTAAGGCAGTCACAGTCACACTCACACAGCCCTGGGCCTCAGCTGAGCCCACTGTGCCCAAGTCTGGTGTGCACAGAATCAAACCAACAGTATCTGCAGCCATAGTGAAAATTCATCCAGCCAGAGGAGAAAAAGGCAAGGGCTGAGCAAAAATGCCTTAATAAAGAGCAGTTGTTATGTGAAAGCGCCATTAGCAGTCAGACAGGCAAAGCAGTTTTCAGCACTGCCATATGCAGAATAAATTCTTAGTATCAACTGTACCCAGTTCATCGGTAATGAGGAGCTTCCCCTGCACAGAGTTCCTGCACTGGTTACTCAGCTGGCTGCTGTTTCCCGAGCTGAACTTCACCTTCCACATGATCGGCTGCTCGTGCTCCTGCACTTGGAGGAGATTTCGATCTCTCACCATCCTCTCTTCCTGCAAGGAAAAACAGGAATGCAACCAAATGTACAAGTTCTTCTGCCACTTCAGTCCATGTGCTTTCCCCACGGTTAAAGACACCTAGTACTTGTGAACTCTGCAGCACAGGAAATTCCAGCATCGATGGTGTAAACAACTTACTACTTGTAGTAGCTTACTTCATACTATACACAGATACACTGTGCACAGAAGATACACAATCCAGTAAAGTGAGGGTATTCAAGTTCACCATGGATGACCTAATACAGCTGAACTCAAGTTACTACAACCACAGAAATAGTATATATTATATTAAATAACCACAGCTGCACGTATTTCCCTTTCATGAGGGCTTCGCCAATGGAATTACCACTCACAAGAGATACAACARCTATCAAACCCCTTGACGATTTTCTTTTTCCAGTTTTGGTTCAAACCACTATTGTTGTCAATCACAGTATCAGGCATGTCTACTTTAAACTCCTGCGTCTAATAAATATTTACAGCATAATTTTTATGGCAGAATAACCCAGGAGTTATGGCAGCATAACCCAGGAGTGACGGCACCTGAAGAACAAAAGTCAGACTGGGATAAGGGATGATTTAACCCACACCGCGGCGYGTCGGGGCCAGGGTCGCGGACACTGACCTGCTTGAAGGTGCTGGTGATGAAGTAAACGAGCGAGAGCCCGAASACGACGCCGAGGACCCATCTCTTCCTGAGCAGGCGCCGCCAGAGCACGGCCCCGCAGGGCACCATGGCGGGCCCAGGGGCTCAGCCCGGGCGGGGGCAGCGCCGGCCCGGGGCCCGCATCACCGGCGGGCCGGCAGCGAGGAGCGCACGGCAGCGAGGAGCGCACAGCCCCGGCACTGCCGCGGCCCCAGCGGCCCGAGCGCTTCCGCCGGCCGGGAGGGGGAGACGGAAGCGGCGGCCGGGCGTGCGCCGGGAGAGCGGGGGCGGGACCGGCACCGGGGCCGGGGCAGAGCCGGTGGGTACGGGACTGCTGGGGCTGGGCTGGGCCGGGCAAGGCCGGGCAGGGCAGGGTGGGGCTGGCTCCCGCCCCGCTGGGGTACTGCGCCACCGATTCCACCGGGAATCTCCCGACCTAATCGGAAGAAAAGGCCTCGCTTGTGTGTGTGTGTATCTGTAGAGCTGTATTTTGAGGTGTATATGTATCTATGTATATATGCATTTTATATGAATATATATATGTGTGTGTATGTATATAGATGTATATAGAGAGAACGGTATTAATAGATGTGGTATATATTTGTATATATGTATGTATATATACAGATATATAGCTATAGACCTATGTATATGTAGATGTGTATATATATAGGACTGTATTGATTTACTTGTATATATCTATATATGTATGTATATACATACATATAGATATGTGTATATATAGATAAGTATATATATATAGATAAATGTTTATATAGAGATGTATATATAAAATATATATCATTTATATATAAAATATGTATCATGTATATAAAAAATATATATCATGTATATATAAAATATGTATTATGATATGTGCATGTAATATAATCTATGGGATATGTGCATGGATACATAAATACATTTACGAATATGTGTATTTGTTACAGACACACACACACACGTGTGTGTGTGTGTGTGTAACAAAATGTGTGTGTATGTACACAGTGAAGGCAGAGTACAACTCTGGGCGTACTCCCAGGGAGTGCCTGTGCAGGGAGCAGGGCTAAAGGTGCCAATCCCAGAGGAAAACAGCCTTGWTGGGTCATGCACATGGGCAGGGGTTGAAGCACTGAGACTTCTGCACCTCTCTGCCTTTCCCAGGGAGATGGAGACGTAAAACTCTGTGCTGTGCTGAACATGACTCTTTGCATGTGCTTCCTCCAGGTGGGCCTGTGTGAKCACTGGGGGCCAGGTGCTTGACAGTCACCCTGCTTGAAAGAGCTGAGATGAGTTTGAAATCTGGACTGTCTTGGATTGTCTGAGGCACTGCATCTGTGAATGTCTGCACGCCCTTGGGCTTCCATCTCTCCCACCGTGGCACCTTGCACATCTGGATGAAGCTGTTGTTCAGGTACTGTGCTTGCAAACCTTCCCAGAGCCATTGTGCCTTTACACAGTACAGGTATAGGGCTACACATTTATATATAATCATACAGTATGACATKTTATAAATGATATTACGACTTTTTATACTCAAGCATATTTACATTTAAGCCCTTACATTTTATTAAGTAGCTTTTATTGTCTGGGGCCACAATGCAGAGTTTGCAAATGGCATTTTTTGTAGGTTAAAATAAAGTGGTTGCTTATTTAAAAGAATATTGTCATGACCTAATTGTATTTTTCTCATAAAAAATTGTTTGCACATTTTCTTTTTTCCTTCCCTCTCAGTTTTGCTTTGCAAAGCAAGTTTCTGCAGAAGAAGAAGAAGAAGGGATTKCATTTCCCAAGAAGGTGTTGAGGCACACATCACATCGAGAACTGCTGTTAGATGTCCCCATGTTCTCTCCCAGGACATGTCATCCCACAGCTGTTCCCTCCTTGTGACAGCCACATCCTGCAGAAGGGGACCTGACTAATTCCTGCCCAGTCTGGAGATCGGTGTGCTCCCATCTGCCATCCTGAGTTTTCTCTTTGCGAGTGTGAAACAAATGGGAGCTCGAGGTGCTCTGTCCCGGAAGCAAATGACTGATGCCAGCCATGTCCCSAGCTGAGTGGGTCCCACAGCCCCCTGCCTCCAGGGCCTGTGCCAGTAGCCACATTGGGATTTGCTGAGCCACAGGGTTCATGTTGAGTGTGTTGTGTTTTAAGGTTCTGAGGAAAATGCAGAGGCGGCACAGCAGCAACACTGACACCGTGCCTCCTGAAAGGTAAATCCTTCCTCTTCTTCTTTCCTCCATTTTCTTCTCCCAAGAGGAAATACTCTGATTGAAGTGTAGGGGATTCTAAAACTTCTGATTGAAGTTTTAGAAGATGAAAGCTTGAAATTGAGAAAGACATTGAATTCCTGWGCATGTGATGTGGCCAGGCTTTCTGCTCAAGTTTGGGGATTTTAGAGATAGTTTCCTTTTCTCCTTCCTGTCAGTTATTGGCTGCTGCCAACTGTAGTGCTTCAGGATGATCCAGTGTGGTACATCTGGAGACAGCTGGCTCAGCATGGGCAGGAAGTTTGGAGCTCTGGGACAGGGATTCATGGCACAGTCCTATGGGGAACCTGAGCATTATCAGTGTCCAAAGATTGACCAGTGTGAACAAGAACTAGTTACACTTCTCAAGATGTTTAAAAGGCCTRCTGGTCTGAAACTCCCAACTACTCTGACTTAGTGTTTTGTAAAGAGTTTGGGTGATACTTTACATCTTCCGAGAGTCTGTATGTAGCTTCATGTATGTGAGTATTTAGAAGCAGAATATCTCTAATTCGTTTCTGTAATTATAACATCAGCATGGGAGCCTTGCCACTGTTCTGCTGCTGAATAATTCCCTGGTGCTTTCCCAGTTAGAGCATGAATTTTTTTTTCTTAAAGAAAAAACTAATCCAATTACTCCAAGACAAAGGTGGGGCTAACAAATTTTATTGCTCTGTCTGAGCTAAGATTATAAGTGAAAGATTGTTAGTAAATATTTTATTTTCCCTAGTGGTTTTGCAGGTAGAATTGAATCTTAATGTCATGGCCACTGCTGGCATGATACCATTCTTAATTTTGGGGGGAAAGAAAGCTATCTTCAGGTTTTTTCTGCATGATGCTTCTGATTTTAAACAGGATAAATCCATATTGTCAGCAACAGAAGCTGAACTTTTTATGACTGTAGAAGGAAATGCTGTTGCCACTGGGCTTCACTTTGGTCAACTTCAGCAGCCTCACAATTTCAACAAACAAACCTTGTTTGTTATTAAATAGGTCCCAAATTAATTCCTTCCTGCTGTAAGCATAGTCGTGTATCCTGGTAATATTATTCCAAACAATAGTTGTGTATTTATTTGTAACACTGGGTTCCACCCAAAGTGTTTGTTACATTCCCAGACTTAAGCTGTGAGCTGTACCTCTGTGAACTGTAGCTGTGAGTTGGGAGTTGTAAGGCAGTGAATTGTACAGTTAGGTGGGAATTTAAATACCTGGCAGATTAATATTTTGGACTAGAAAGAGGTGTGCAGTCTCTTGTTGACTTGATTCCTTTGCTGAAGCCTGTGGAGAGACAGTGAGAATGGGGTGTAGCTATAAAAAGCCTTTTTAGGAGTTTACTTAGTGGGAAGATTTGCTCAGAGAGGTTTGGAGCTATCCCCAGAGGGAGGTGAAGTAGTGCTCTGTGCCCTGTAGGGTGTGGAGAAGCTTTGGAGCCCATGGGGGAGAGAAGGATGAGGGCCCTGTGTGTGCTGCCTCAGCCTGTGACCGCTATTTCTAAAGAGATSTCAAGAGAGACCAAAGCTCTGCAGCATGCCTTGTTTGTGGGCTTTGCCTCTTGCTGAGGTTGATTTATTGTTCACTCTCTTTTTGCAAGTTCCAGGGGTATTTGCTGTCTGTCAGGCATTTACTACCTGATGATCATTCTCCTTGTTACCTGCATCGTTCCCTGTCATCTAAACTTTCYTTGTATTGACTTCTAGTGAGGAAAACCTATTGTCTTTTGCTGTTAGGATGAAGGTATTTGGATTTTCTGTTTGTAATCTGGCTATTATTCCAACATGCTCAGGAAAGAATCAGTGCCAGAACCAGTTCCGTCCAGTGCTCAGTAATTTGGGTACATTCATGTCCAATTTGCCAAAAATACCAAAATAATAGAATTTATCTGGACTCATGAGCACATCCTTCACTTACAATATTTGTCGGGTCAGGGACACACAAGCAGCTCTCAATGCTTATTTTCCCCGATTATTCTGTCTCTTGTTGATAAAATTGATCAGTGGGCAGGTAGTGCTTGTCCCTAAATAAAGACAGAAGATTTTGGGGGGTAGSTCATTGCTTTGAGTTAGCTTGGTTAATTTGTTTGTTTATGATTTGACTTAACTTGTTGATGCTGTGTCAAGTTCCATGGGGTTTTGTGTGTTTTTCCTTAAATACTCAAATCAGTGTAGAYGATGTTGGATTTGGTATGGGATGTATCATTTCTTCAGTTTCTCCCAAAGTAAACGGGGTGTTTGGGAGATTCATTTCATGGATGAAGGGATTGGTGCATTTTGCTCTGGTCTTTAGTGATTTTATCTGAAGAGTCTGGTTATTCACCTCTAGTTCTGCACTGACCTCTGTGACTTCCCAACAGCAAAAAGAGGGAAAAGCATCTGTCTTGTGAAGACCTTGGTGAGGAACTCTGGAATCCCTGCAGTCAGTATTGGRCTAAACACCACAAAGTTCTGTGCARTCATTTTTATTTAATCRCTTTGATCTGCAGAAACCGGAGCCAGACGGTCAGTTCTGAAACCAGCGTGGATGAAAGCGGYGTTTTTGAAAGCCTGAAGGCTGAAGCCTCCTCTCCACAGCAGCTGTTCTCGGGGCTGGCCGGGATCCCCTCGGGCACCATCACWGCCACGCCCTTCCAGTCGGGGCTGGTGCTGGGCTCTTCAGCAGGAGGTGGGGAAGTGTTCATCCAGATGCCAGCCCCGAGGGAGGAGGGGGCCAGYCGAGCTGAGGGAGCCCCGTTTCACCACCGGCAGCCATCCCATCACTTCCACCACGGCCACCACCGGGGCTCCTCTCTGCTGCACATGGCAGGGGGGGACCGGCACGGACACGCTGAGGAGGGTTCTGAGGAACAGGCTGGAACTCCAGCCCCAGCTCTTTCTGAGCTAAAAGCTGTGATTGGTTGGCTGCAGAAGGGACTTCCCTTCATCTTGATCCTCCTGGCTAAAGTTTGTTTCCAGCACAAGCTTGGTGAGCATCCATCCTTTTTGAACTGTGATTAGAGAGTGGTTGGGAAGTTTCATCAGGCTGTGACATCCAGTRCATTTATCCATGTGACAGTGGCCAGATGGAGTCTAGCATGAAGGGAACATATCAAATGCATGGGGTAATGCATGTGATAAATTCACCCTACTTCCAGTCCAAGCTGTTTTCATCTGGGCCAGATCCATCTGTTTCCTATCCTGACCAGTTCTGTTCTTTTTCCTGATTTCCCTTGACTTTCCTGTGAGTCTGAGGATCATTACCAAGRCTTCTCCCTCAGAGCTCTCTTTAGGAAGAGATGGGCAGAGCTTACATTGGTGATAACAGAGGTTTGTGTGTAGCACAGAAGGGTCCAGAGGGATCAGACACTTGTCTTGCTGGTAGGGTGGTAGCTGTGAAATCAAGTCAAACAGCATCAGCAGTTGCAATCTGACAGAGCCTTTCCCTGCAGGAATTGCTGTGTGCATTGGCATGGCCAGCACCTTTGCCTACGCCAACTCCACGCTCCGAGAGCAGGTGGCTCTGAAGGTGAGTCCAGCATTTTTCYTTTTGATGTTCCCAGGAAAGATCATTCTCCATGCACAAAATAACATCTGTGTCAAATCTTTGATTGGAGTGTAGGGCTGAATGCATTTATATGTCTACAGATCTGCCTTTTCTTCCTGTGTCTCCCCATAGATGCTCTCCCACAGTTTCTATCCTGGTTTTTTTGCAGAAGTGTGGCATAGTAAAACAAAGAAGAGGACAGGTCAGAGATGTTGTAACCTGCATCTCCCTCTTCTCTACCTGGCAGTGCCTATTCCACCACTTCTCTGCCCTTTGGTTTCCCGTTATGTACTGCAGAGATGCTGAAACCTATTTGACTTGTTAATGATGAGATTTAACTTATTAGCATTTAGATAATGTTTTGAGATGTTCAGCTGAAAGATTTCGTAGATGCATTTCTTGCCAGTAGCTTTATAATGCTCTGTGCACAATATGCTTAGAATATAAAGAAACCAGCAGATCTTTTCAGGTCTTCTGATCTTCTGTGTCAGGAGAACAGTTTAACAGCACTAAAGGCACGAGGCTAGAATTTCTTTTTTTGTTAAAATTATGTGTGGCACAAGAGCATTCTTGTATCTACCAGCAGCAGTGGAATCAATGGGATCCAGTGCTGAATGAACAGATAAATGGCACAATCCTGTAACAGATTGCTGTTGCCTTGCACTCTACACCTCTGTCCTTCCAGCAGTGTGCCCCTTGATCTGCCTGCTTTAAATCTCAGCCTAACAGCCCTGGCTGTTGAAAAGCTATGGAGACCTCCTTTCTTAATAAATCAGCTCACAAGAAAAATGGTGGTTGTTTTCCTCTCGGGAGTAAAATTTACTCCCCAAAATTATCCAGGGCCAAGACCCAGGACAAGATCTTCTGCCATCCAGCTTCTGTTTGTATCATCCCATGTATTTTGAAATGCACAATTCTCACTGCCTTTGACCTTTAATTATTTCTTCAATCAAAAATGCATATTCCAGAACCTCYATGCTTTTGGATAACACCCAGATGTGCTGCATGTAGGGATGTGTTATGTTTGATTTATCTAAGCTTTTGACTGAATGACTTTGGATCTGTTTATGAAACACCCCTTTGATGAATTGTCACTCCAATCACTGACAGCTCAGAATTTAGGACAATATGTGGAATGGACTTTTTAAAATCTGCTTGTCATCCTGCATTTTAAACATCAGGAGATTTTAGATGTCCCAAGGAAGATCCCAGCTTTGAAGATGCATCCTGCAAGCAAGGCTGTAGTTTTCACCAGCTTATTTCAATTAATTTCTCTGAAGTTACTTCATTTGGAAAGATTACCTGAATGAGAGGCATTTCTGCTTGTTTTTACATATGTTTACCTAGCAGGCTACTTCTGAGTCTTAGTGCTGTGTAAAAAAACTAATTACTGAACACTTTTTGCTACACATTTGGATCCCCTGGGTTGGATTTTTTAGCAGTTGAAGGCTCAGCTCAAGCCTTGAGTTTTCAAATTGAAGTAACTCTTCTTTTCCTTGCTCAGGAGAAGAGATCAGTGCTGGTTGTTTTCTGGATCCTGGCCTTTCTCACTGGAAACACCCTGTACTTGCTTTACACMTTCAGCTCTCAGCAGCTCTACAACAGGTGAGCAAAACTTACATTGTACAGGATGGAAGCAGGTGATAATTGCCACGGGGGAAAAGAGGAAAACCTGCTTTTCCCCACACTTTGGGAGGAAGTGTGTGTGYCTAAAGGATCTGCTGTCTTTGTTACAGCTTTGGAATATCTTTCAGTGAAGGAAAAGAATGTGGGTGTCACTTTACCAGTGGATTATGCTCCTATCAATAAATGGCATAACCAGTGTATAAATGAATCCAGGGTGAGATGATATCAAAGCAGGGTGGATCCTTTCCTCTGAATTCCCATTTTGGCCACTGCTACTGAACATAAAGTGCAGGTGTCAGAAGCAGATMAGGAATTGACCCACTGATTTTCCTCTTCCTGGAATATTTGCAGTCTATCAAGCCTAGGAGATAAACAGGAGATGAAATAGCAGTGTTTTACTCCAATGTTCTCAGGGCTTGGAGGCACTAGGATCTGAGGTAATTAAGGTAGCCCTACCTTTCAAATCCTGATTAAATTAGTTCTCAAATACAGAAAGGTTTGTACTAATGGATTTGGTTCAGCACTGTCCCTGCTTTTTATTAGAAATGGCTGCTTCAGTTTTGTTTCTTTCTGGCTTATTTTTCATTTTTCTTGTTTCTAGTGCATGAATAGTAGTAAAGTCTCTGATTCTGTTTCTGTTTTTAGGGTGTAATTTTACCTGTTGTGCTGTGCCAGTGTTGTGAGTATTTTAAATTCATGTTCAGGCTTTTCATTTTGGGTTGTTTACTTTACTTTGCCTTTTTTTTTTTCTATTAAGTTTTTGCTTTCTACCATGAGGCTTTAGCAGGTAAATACCCTGAAGGTGAATCCTGTTTTTCCAGCCTGAGTACAGTATAGTTCTCACTGTTGCTCAGGTCAGTATATCCTGCCCGTGGCTGGGTGAAATTCTGCTATCCCAGACTCCACTTTTTTAAACAGCAAATGTTCAGCTCAGGAAACTATGTCATGTAAGGGGCTTTACTTTTTTTGGATCTTTGGTTCAGGTAAGAGGATTAACAGAGCCCAGCTTTTGTTCTGCTCCAGGCAGTGGCTGCTGTCAGAGCACGACACAAGCAAAGTTCTGAGCTTTCTGCCCTGGCTGGTACAGATTTTCCTGTGTCACCACTTTGTTTCAAGCACAGGTAGCTTTAGGGGCTGTGCCCCTGTGGCAAACCAGCCTCAGAGGCTGTGGGGGTGTTCYCTTCCCCAGGGAGCCATCAATATTCTCAGTAGGACTTCCCAGGCTAAGCTTTTCCACCCAGATCCCATGGAGCATGCACTGAGGGCACTGCCAGCACACCAGAGGCTCTGTTGCAGTGGGAAAGGCAGGTTATAGAGATTTGTCTTCCAAAACAGATTTTAGAGGTGTTTGGGTCCTGTTTTGTGACAGTGGGCAAACAAACCTSCTGACCTCAGTGGAAGTGGGCAAGAGCAAAGCCAAGAGGCCCAGAGGAACCACAGGTCTAATTTGCATGTTTTACTCCTCTTGCCCTTGGGGGCTCCCCTGGAGTTCAGGGGAGTTTATAGGCTCTCTCTAGCCAGCAGTGGATACAAGGAGCTTGGGCCAGGTTCTCCTCGTAGATATTTGAGCTTTGGTGTCTCGTGCCTTTCAGCCTTATATTCCTGAAACCCAACYTGGACAGGCTGGACTTCTTTGACCTCATGTGGATCGTGGGCATYGCTGACTTTGTGCTGAAGTACCTCACCATTGCCCTGAAATGTCTCGTTGTGGCCCTGCCCAAGATCATYCTCGCTGTCAAGTCAAAGGTAGGAGACTCTTCTTGATGCACAAATCTTTGTCTTGGATCATGTGATGCCTTTACAACCCTTTTGSAGCATGGAGTCAGAGAATCATGGAATGATTTAGGTTGGAAGGGACCTTAAAGCTCATCCGGTGCCACCCCCTGCCATGGCAGGGACACCTTCCACTGTCCCAGGCTGCTCCAAGCCCCCATGTCCAGCCTGGCCTTGGGCACTGCCAGGGATCCAGGGGCAGCCACAGCTKCTCTGGGCCAAATATGGGTGCAACAATTAAAATATTAAAATCTTTTGCTAAAACTTTGACAGAAAGTCAGTGTTTTCAAGGATTGTTTTTTTGAACCATGACAGACCTGAGCAAGGGTTTGGTACTWCCCAAAGTGAGTAAAGTCCAGAGAGGTAAGGTAAGCATTGCTTGAGGAGGAAGTGGTGCTAGCAGCCAGATAACTGCTTTTCTCATTGACTTTAAGTCTTGTTTCCTGAGTAATCTGTTTCTGAGTAAATACATATTTCTGAAGCAGGAACCTCTTCATGTCATGGGAAGGAATTGTGTGTACTTGTCTCTTTGCCTTTCCTCTGGGGTCAAAGAAGTAACAGTTAAATTGAAGCTAGTGATGCCACAAAAGACAGCATCAGTCCTAACCAGGGGTTCAACCAATTGAAGAAATATTTCAATTAAATGCTTCACCTATTTAAATGTTCATGAAACCATATCTAGACTAGGCCTARCTTTTGAAATTTTCTCACTATATTCTCTGTCTTAGAATACCTTTTCATACATTTTTACTTCTACAGATCTCAAATGCTGCCTCTTTCTCCACTCAGTAGCACCCACATTTCAGTGGCAGGTGTAACAATGTGTATTATTTGCATTCAGTAAAGAAACTTTCTGGCAGTGGTTGGGATGAAAGGCACTCTCTATAGATGTAGATGTAAGGTACCAGCATTAATTGCTGAAAGTCTCAGGCAGGGCACTTCAGGGGGTGTCTAAACAGGGAATAGTTTTGCTTAGAAATGACATGGGTGGCAGGGGAGTTGAGCAGTTTGTTCCTGCACAGCAGGGCTGTCTGAGATGGTTATTAATTTATTTCTGGCAATTGTCCAGCTTTTTTTTTTCCTTTCTTCTATTATTATTATTATATTTTGGGAGATTAATGTGCTGGGTCAGAGCATAATCCAGCCTGGGGARGGAGGGAGAAGTGATGTGAATAGTCTTCCCAAGATAAATTGCAGTGTTGGAAAAGGTTCACAGCCTTTGCTTGCTTGTCTGAGAGCCATCCCAAGTACTCATTAATCCTTGTCGGGGGAGAAGAAAGAGAAGGGGGCTTTATTTGCAGCTCCAGTGAGAGGCTGGGAAGATCACATCTGTCAAGGGCCTGTAATGACTCAGAGCACAGATGCTTCATTTTTAATACCATTTTCTGGATAGCAATATGTGTCTCACTTTAAAAAAGTCCYTTTTTGTCTTGGGATGATGTGGATGGTCTCACTGTGCCCTGACTGCTGTTACCCACCACTAGGTCTGGATTTGTTTGCTCCCCAGCCCTGCACTGCATCCATTAATCCAGCCAGGGATGAGATCTGATATAACAAATTAAGCAAGATCAAACTGGGATGGGAGAGCTCCAGGAAAGCCACAGGACACCACAGAAATTGTAATTGGTAATCACATAGCCGAGCTCTCCCTGAGCTTGGTGACCCAGCTGACTTCTGCAGGCCAGCAGTGTGCCACACAGATGAGGCTTTTTAGATGGAAGCTTTTGCTCAGTTTGAACAGTTCTAGTGCAATTCAGGCATGTTAACTTGGACCAAAATTTTTATCAAGTTTTTTTGCTATCTGCTGTCTGAATATTTGCCAACAGTTACTCTCTTCCTCCTAAAGTGCTGGTAGTGATGTTTCTGCTTGAAGCCCAGCTTGGAGTTTATGAACTTCTGGTCACTTAATGGCTACAGGCTGATAGAGAAATACAGAATTTTTCAAGATRTATTTATATATAGAGAGTTTTTGTGCCAATATAACTACTCAGAACAGCAGCCTTTTGCTCTCTTAATAGTGGTTCTGAAGTGGAAGTTGCTGCACCCTCAGGAGTGGAGTCCAGGATTTAATCCTGAGCTCCCTTGCAATCCCTTCTTGCTGGCAGTCAGCAGTAGATCCTAAAACTTGCCCATGGATGGGATGTGAGGAACTTTGATCATCCTGCACTCAGGCTCCGAGCTGGCTCTCCAGATTTTCCTCATTTTGGAAGTTCAAAGGCACTTGCAAAGCTAGCCTGGCATATCCTGCTGCTCCTTGGGATTCTGGTCTTCTCTGAATACTGTGTGGTTTTCACTTTTAGTTATCAGTCTTCATCTCTTCCCTCACCTTTGTCTGTAAACTGAACACCAGCAATTTCTTGAAGCTTTTCTCAGAGATTGTTAATTCCGGATCTTCTTATTCTTGTCTGGACTGTCTTCATTCCCTCCATGTTTTCCAGACCATTTCTCCAGTCTGTCAAGAGGAATCTGGAATATAATCCTTCTTTCCAATGTGTTTTTTACAGTCTTTCCCAGTTTAGTATGAGCTGTACATTACCCTGCTCCATCAAAGATCATTAATGAAAATAGTAACTAATAGTTACAATAACTAATATAGCTATATATATTAATAGTGAAAATATCTAAACTCTGCTTGCATCAGTTAGATTTATCTTTCCATTTTGATAGTAAATACATGAAAAATCTGGGCTAGAACACTCAGTTCTCCCCATCCACAGTTCCTGGGTCATGTGTCCTAGTATGGTCCATCCCAGGAAGGGAAAATTTTGGTCTAAGATAACGTTTGGATTTATGCAGCTTATAAAAAGTGCACTTTTATGCACTTTATAARAAGTGAAAAGGAGAGAAGAACAGGAACAGGAAGGTAACCCCAGCATCTGGCTGCTCTCACAGCTCTGGAGCCTGTGGAGTTTCCAGAAGGATCCTACCTGTGGCTGGAGGTGTCCCTGCCTCCCCTGGAGCTGTGACAGGCACATCAAGGGTACAAGTTCCAATAACAGCTGAGCTCATCATTCCTTTGGAAGGGGGGCTTGGCTCCCACCCTGCCTGCTGAAGGCTTCTCCATTAAAAAAGGCAAATAAGATCATTTGGTTCAATATAAAATGAATTAAAGTAAATTAAACTGCAGGAGCCATGTGGCCTGCAGAGGCTTCCATTGTTGTGCACACATCAATGGCAGCTTTTCATTTTCACCSCTAAGGAATGACAGCTTGAGGGGGGTGGAATTCAAAATAAGGAAATAAATAATAAAAAGACACAGTTGCCAAAGATTTCACTTAGGAAATCCCAGGTGCCTGCAAGTCTCCCATCCCCTCCTCATGTTGCTGTCAGCAATCTGAGCTGGGAAGGGAGTGAAATATGAGGGGAGGGAGGAAGAAAACCAAACCAAAAAGAACTGTAAGAAACTGTTATCCCAAGTTCTTTTATATGTGCATCCCTATCTCTATAGGGGAGAAAGATACCAAGGACACTTTTCCAATTATCTTGGTGACTGATACATAAGAAAGCCCTAAGTAAGAATTTTCTCTGCATGCTCAGTGCAGATGTGCAGCCAAGTTACAGGGGACTGCATCTGCAGAAGAGTGAAAATTCAGAAAGAGAGCACTGACATTGGTTTGTTGGCAGCATAGCATGAAGTGACTACTGAAYAAATACTTGTCAGTTTAATTTGAAAGCTGGATCTAGACATTGCAAATGAGGTTTTGTGGCAAGGCTGCCATTATTCATGTGAATTTTTGTCTTTATGCTGTTTAAACAGTGTCAGTGGCAAATGTACAGTTGCTGGACCACATGTGTACTGTCCATCCCTCACTACAACTTTGAAAACCCACTTTGGTGGGGTTTTTTTCAGATGATTGTTTTATTAGTGCTTTTCATTTTTAAAATACCATCTCATCAAATCTGGTCAGAGAAAACTTGGCCTGGATGTGGCAGCAAGTGCAAATTCTGCACTTGGACCTTGGATCAAAAACCTTCTTCAGGTGCACATCATGTTCCSTGCCATAGATGGGTACAGCTCTGCCATGGAAACTGGCACATTAATTTCCATATTCCTTCTGAAGCTGCTTTTTTTTTTTGTCTTAAGGGGAAAAAAAAGGCTCTTAGAGCATTTGAGTCCTCTAAAAATACAGAAGCAATTAAAAAACACTGGAAGCTGGCACATAGATAATGTTTAATAAAAATACCCAGGCAAAGATGTTCCTGCTTTTTTGTACTGTGCAATATGGAATTTATTCCTGCTGTTCCCTCACAGTGTGGCTGAATTGGTGTTCMCAGAAGGTGACAGCTCATTCTCTCATTCCCTTCTGCTTTCTGACCTTGGATCCTCTTTAGGGCACTCATACACAAACAGATTCACTCTTYTTGGACAGCAGTCTGAGTTTGGATGCTCTGGAGCCACAAAAATTCCAGGTTGCTCTGCAAAGACCTTTTCCTACTGCAGCCTGGGACTGATGTGCTGTCCCAGAGTCAGAAATGTGGGATTTATTATTTACAAAATTTTAAAATGTATTAAAGCAAAAGAGCAGGTACTGAGGAGTAGAGGCTCCTCTGTCCCCCTCCCTAAACATGCTTTGCAAGTTCACTGCTACTGAACTTGAAAAAAATCATTACTCCTAAGTGCTTTTCCAGTTTCACTTTCCAGTTTAAGATACGAAAAATGTGATTTTCAGAAGTGTTGTGCACTAACTAAAATCCTCATTTCCCCCTCTAGTCCCACCTTGACATTACTCCTCATTAGTCCTGATTTTCACCAGCCCTCTCCGTGCCACAATCCCGTTTACTGCTCCTACCCAACACTTTATCTACTGGCACCACGACCTGAAATCTCAGCAGAACCTGCTCTCCTCTGATCCAAATTACCAGCAKGTCTCCAAAGCTCTTTCGAGCATCTCCATCTCAGAACATGCCCTAATGCTGCTGGCAACAGAACAAGTGAGACTTGGAGCTTCCCTCGAGTGCTAATCACACCTTGCATCTCCTCCTTGTGACTTGTCTCACTYGTGCTGCATCCCCCACCCCAATTGTGCTGTGTCAAACCTCGCTGTGCCCCTCTGCTGCTGCTGGGGAGGCACACAAGGGCAAAGCCTTATGGCAAAGGAGGCTGCAYGGTGGAGGCTCAGCCAGGCTCTGGGGGAATTGGCATCACTCTGCTGCTGCATTGTTCCCCCTTTGCTGGGGCTAGATTGGGATTCAGTTTTTAATTACGCTGCTCCACGTTATTTTTCTGTGAGGCTTCTCCCCTCCCTCACCACAGCCCAAGGATGAAGGTGAGAGATTGAAAGGAGCTGTTGCAGCAACTGGAAAGTTCACAGGAAACAAAGAACATTCTGCAGGTTCAACTCCACTGCTACTCTGGAGAATTAAATTCTGTCCTTTGCCAAATAATTCCTGCGTGGTTCCAGAAAAGTCAGGTAGGGCTGCAAACTGAAATCAATGGTTCAGCTTTTAATGGCAAYATGATCTATAAAATGAAGTGCTTTATAAAAAGTCTAATCCCAGACATCTCAGCTTGGACACCAAAACAACCTTACCTTGACCTTCATMTTTCTGTGCCTCAGGTTCTCATTAAGAAAACACAGAGAAAAGCTGTCCCTGAGGTCAGGCAGCAATGTGAAAATAAGGGGGTTTTAAAAGTGTTTTCTGTAGTGTTGMTGTCATAAAGGGACTGAAGAAATTTTAGAAATGTGCTTCTCTGAGCAGAGCTCAAATGGCAGGAAGGGATCAGATGCAGATCTGCCATCAAGTAGTGAGGATATAACAAAATACCAAGTTACATCCTCAGTGTGCAAAAATAGTGCATTACAGACTGAGATACTGCATATACAGAAGGAAAAGTGCAATTGTATGGAAATGCTGAATTCTCCTCTTTCAAAATAAGTGCTTGGTTTGAAATACAAAAAATGGTCTTTCTGTGTGGGGAAGGAGGTGCAGAAAAATGGAATGTTATACTCAAATAATTGACTCGTTTTTTAACAGAGCTTTGGAAAAAAAAAAAAAAAAAGGAATCAACATTTCACCATGTGGTATCTGAGGCTCATCAGCAGAGTTGCTAAAATTAGATCCCAGCACAGCCCTTCCCCACGTGTGCTAATGAAGTGTTTGATAGCAGCAGCAGCAGCTCCTCTCACAGAACTCACTGGGAGGAAGCAGGGCCAGCAGTGCCCTTCTCACTTTTGGTCAGGCTTAACCCTTGATAAGAGCAGAGCTTTTCTTCTGTTACCTACCTCGATCCTCAGGAGCCATAATTTCATTAATATCCTATTGAATCTCTGCAGTTCAGCTTGCTCTGGAGGGCTGGCTCCAGTCCTGCATTGGGGCAGACCCACAGGCTCACCAGAAAGAAATTCTGCTGATCTTAGAGAGCTGTTCARTCTCAATTCAAGAGAAAATTCCAGATTTACACAAATTTTTATGAAATAGGAAAAATCACCTTGCCTTGCTTTATTTCAAGCTGTCATGCCAAGTCAGATGCACAGGAGAWATAATTACATTTTTGCTTTGTATAACAGAGTTCTAATCTTGAAGGGAAAAAAAAGCTGATATGTTTTAGCTGATTTTTTTCAGTCAAAATACAGCTCGAGACAAAGATTTGACTTTGAAAAATGTAACCTAGATAGCCAAGAGATAACAAAGCTGAGAAGTGGCAGACAGGTGTGTTGAGTGTGTTCAGCACTGATGGGTGCTGTCTGCAGGAAGTTACTGCTATCAGAAATCTGCATTTTGCTGCTGAAATTGTAGGGAACAAACCTCATTTTCCAAGCTTCTGGCTCACAAGGAGGAYCCCACTTCTGCAGCAGGTCTTTGTAGAATGATTTCTGATTTTCTGGCACTTTTTGTAGTTTAAAAAAAGGGCTGATGTGGTGCATTGAGCTGCCTGACAAAATTTAGAACTTTCTTGTTCTCTCCAAGCCATGCTCAGCTGCCCCTGTATTGCTCCCTTTCCCTCCTGGAATCACTCTGAATTTATCAATATTTAATGGTTAACGGGCTGGATGGARGGATACATCCTTTAAAACTTGTCTTCACTCTTGGGAGGCTGTTACCAAGTTCATAGCTGCTCAGAAATCCAGGTAACCCGCAGTTACCGCTGCAAACGAAGATTCGCATTAAGGAAAGGAATTCTGAAGGCTCTGGGGAGGGTGGGGAAGGTGTGGTTAGATATGGAATTTTAYCAGTGGCTGCCACTTCCCCCTCCACAGCCTGTCTGTGCTCTGGGGCTGCCCCTGACCCTCCTTTCCTCATCTTTCTGTGGGCTCGGGTGTTTCAGAATTTGGGTTGTAGAGGAATGGCAGCCTTGCCCCGGCAGCCCGGTCTGATGCAATGGCAGAGCAAGCAGTGACCTGTCCCAGCCCAGCAGGATCCACCAAGGATCGGGSCTGCGAGGAACCAGATGGAAAAAGCAAAGTTTGCTTTTTGGGCTTGCTGGGAGCTTTCATCAGAGCTGTGTGGAGGGACACGGCGACAGCGTTGTCATTTCTGCCACAGGAGCTCCCGAAATAAACGATGATTGCATCGAAGCGCCGGGCTGGAGAGAGACCTCTGCGCTCATTTAACAAATTGCTCGCGTTTAGGAGCGCAGATTGTCGCTGGGACGCGTTTGCTCCGAGCTGCCACCTGGGATTAGGGAGGAGGAGGGGATGGCAGAGCTGCCCGGGTCCGATAGCAACCGCTGGTGTGACCTCACTCGAGTCCCGGGGGATATGAGCTCATGAGCGTGCCAGAGCTCGGGGAAGGATTCCATTTGTCGGGAGCAGCAGGATGGCCTGCAGTGATCTCATCCATCGCCGAGCCCCCGGGGAAGGGCGCTGCCTGTTGCCAGCCCGGCTGCGAGGGCTTCATCCCTCTCCCCACCGCAGCAATTAGTGATTGGCCTGCGATGACATCACTGATGACAAAGCTAACTGGGACAACACAGCAAAATTCCTGGGGAATTTCCCCTTCTCCAGGAGCTTAGCGAGTAAAAGGATTTTGACAGGACAAACCCAAATCTTTCAGTCCCGATAATGTCASTGCGGATTAAGCGTTGTTCTGGGCTCAGTTTGCCACCAGCTGTCCCTGTGAATAGCGTGGGACAAAACAGACTGGGGGGTGGCCGTAAATTAAACACCCTTATTGGGGTTTTGGTGAAGGTTTACAAAGGATTCTGCCCATTCTCTGAGTTCCTTTTGAGAGGGAAGCATTTCAACCAGMACACTTCCCTTCCCCACCTTTTCTTCCTTGGGGTGCTCAGGAAGGTTTGGTCTCTTTGAGTTTTAGATGCCCCGAGGGTTTATTTTTTAGCACCAGTGCTTTTATCTGTGCACTGCCCGAGAGCCAATACACACCTGAGTGGGAGGGGAAGGATACTGGCAAACATAATTMATTTGATTCTTTGGGATTACTTAGAAAAGTTGTCACGAAGACTGTGATCATTTTACATTTTAACCCCAGTACTTTCAGAAGGGGTGTAAAATCACAGATGTAGCTTGCTTTCCTTTTCTCACTATTAATAATATCTACAATTTGCAACATGTTTTCCCTGTGACATCATATTAATCCCATATTGACCTTTTCTCTTCTGCAGCATTATCCAGATACACAATTTATTACCTATCCATAACCTGCTCTAAAGTTTGAAATTCCAAAATGCAGCACTGCTGGGTCAGTGACAGAGCCCTGTGGAGGAATAAAGGAATATTTGTCCTTTTGAGGCACGGAGTTCAGTGGGGAGCAGAGAAAGCTGCATGAGTATGGGCTCTGCACCATTTAACAGTGCAGTGATCAGTGAACACCAGCCCTGCACAAATTAAATGTCCTTCTTTTGACTTGCTGATCACAATTGTCTCACTTGCCCGGTTGTCTTGCAGGGGAAGTTTTATCTGATTATCGAGGAGCTGAGCCAGCTGTTCCGCTCGCTTGTGCCCATCCAGCTSTGGTACAAATACATCATGGGAGACGATCCATCCAGCAGCTACTTCCTGGGTGGCATCCTCATCATCATGTACAGCCTGTGCAAGGTGAGCACACCTCATTAACACCCGGGGAGCTGTGGCAGGACTAGGGGAAGTGCTGAAGGGGACAAGTGCAGGTTTTGGTGGTGGCTGTCACCACCCAGGACACCGCAGGAGTTTTGCTTCCCCAGTGTGTGGGCACTGCCGAGCTGGGGGAGGATCTGTGCCTGCTCAGYGCTGTTGCATCAGACTCATGAAGTCATTGCTGCTCTGCTAATGCCTTTCTGCAGGGCTGCAGGAGCCAGGCTGGGGGAGCAGGGCTGCCAGAGGTGCTGCCTGGCTCCACAGCTCCACATGTCACACACAGACAGCTCTGTGTTTGTCTCTGCCTTTCCTCTGAGTGCAGCAGAGAGAGAGAGGGACATCCGTGGATAAAACAGGCAGCTCTGCCCCATTCTACCTCCTGGGCTGGCTGATGCAAGTGATGGACAGGAGTAATTAACATTTCCTCTAAAACGAGCATTAAGAGCAGGAAGTCTGCACAGTTGGAAATCAAGAGGTGTGATTTAGTCCGGGTCTTAGGTCTATAAATAATTGCATTTCTAACAGTGTGGTGTCCATACCTGTGGGAAAAGCCAGGCTTTCACCATCCCAGATACCTGAGGGTGCCTGTGGCTCTGCAGGGGCAGAGAAAAATGGAGAATGGAGAATTTATCCAAGCTGGAAACAGCTCAGATGAGCAGAGCAATGTTAAATTACAGTGCAGCTCTGTACTGTTTTAGGAATAGAATCATGCAACTCCTCCTGTCAAGGACTGTACAGTTCTTTACAGACTTTGCAGTTCTKGTGAGCAAATCAGGCAGAGGAGGTCATGGACAGTGAAGTGATTTGGTCCCATCAGGTCTGAGCCTGAGCCAGGAGCAGAGCACACAGTGCCAGAACAGGAGCACACAGRGCCAGGGCAGCTCCCTGCACACCCTCCCATCCCTCCTCAGCTCCCAGTCCTGCTCCTGGGGCTGGGGGACAGGAGTGCTGCCCTTTCTGAGCTGTCATTGCCTGGACCCTCTGCAGTGTCCAGCCCTTCCTTCCCTGCCCTGCTGGCTTGGCAGCTCAGGGCTGCAGGCCACAGGTGCACAGGAACAGATTTCAAGGGACCTTTCTTGTGTCCCTCCTTGCCAAAGCAAAGCCACACCTGGAAAGGAGCTGCTCACCTGCAGTTCCACCAGCCAGATCTTACACCTGCAGGATTCCTCGTGGTGTGAAGGTGCTGCTGGGGGCTTCTGCTCCTTGGAGCAAGGGGAGCCAAGCTCAAAAACCACAGCTGACAGGGCAAGGGCCTCCCCAGGCAGGGTCAGACACAGCCCATGAACTGCAGGGCAGGGCCAGAACAGGGAGACAGGCTCAGGGGTCACTGCAGGTTCCACCCAGGGCAGGGGGAACTGGAGCAAAGCACAGACAAACTGGACACCAGCACCTTCTGACACAGCTCAGCCTTRAGCTGAGCCCTCCAGGGCTGAGCTTAAATCGAGCTGCTGGGCCCAGGGGGTGTGAGAGGGGAGCTCAGCTGAGGGTCCTCAGGCCCTGGCACAGGTGGGAGCAGTTCCCTRAGGGCTGTCTGGATGTTTCTGCCCTGTGAAGCCTTTGTAGGGACTGTTGGGATGATCTAGATTAGAAAAGCAACTTCACTTTGGAAGTTTTGTGTCTAGATCAAGGTTAGCCCTTTGCAGAGCAAGATTTTGCTTGGAAGTGACGGAAAATTGGGAGCTCCCTCTCCCAAAGCAGAGCCCTGGGTGTGTTCATCCCATTTCCAGCCCAGCTCCTTGCCTGACCCACTGGAAACATCCCCGAAGGAGACCCCATTAGCAAAGCCACAAACCACAATGGAAAAACCACAGAAGCCAATTTGGCACCGAGAGCTGCTGAGCTCCTGGCAGAAATCCAGGGCAGGGCTCGGGCTGTGTCCCCTTCCCCTGCACAAAGGGCAGCAGCACTTCCAGGGGGTGGAGTGGAGCTGRTGGGAGCTGTGCTGGTGCCTCAGTCTGGGCTGGGTAGTGATGAACTCTGATTTTGGTGGAGAAATTCCAGGTGTTCACAAGTGGAACATCCAGGTTGTGTTTGTTGTGTTTTTTCCCTGCTCTGAGCAGAAGYGCTCCCTGTGTGTAACCCAGCTGTAAAATGCTACAAAATCCAGTGCATGGAGGAGAAATGGATGCTAGAAACATGCAGCTTTTGGGGGTACAGGGAGCTCCACAGGGAAGGAAAAAGGGAGGAATATGGGCTGGGAGGAGACATCAGAGCAAAGGCTGTAGAGTCATGCTGGGGGTAAAGCACCCAGGAAAAATGGGGAATTGCACCATGGAAAAGAGCTGATCCTGATCCTGGTTCGGAGGGGGAAGGTCTGAGGCAGTGGGCACCTCGAGGGGTGGCTGCTGAGTGGGAGCAATGCTGACAGGACCCTGGGAGCCCCCTCTGTGCTGCCTGAAGGATCACTGGAACCTTCACTGGATTCACATCCACAGCAGGGAGATCTCACTGGCGCTTCCTGCACTGAGCCTGCTTCATCACCCTCACCAAAAACACAACCAGTCCACAAAACCAGTCCCATCCTCCGGGGCACCCCAGAGCCTCCCGTGCCCTGCAGGGACAGCCAGAGCTCCTGCTGGAGCCCAGAGCCTCCCGTGCCCTGCAGGGACAGCCAGAGCTCCTGCTGGGCCCCAGCTAATGCAGGGCAATTCCTTGCACAGGCACTTTTCACACCTTGTTTAGTTCAGTGAGTCTTTCCCTCGGCTCTTCCAGCAGATAGGGAAGATAAAGATTAGGTTTTCAAGCAGTTTTCCCTTTTTCTCCCCCTATTTCCCTTTCCTCTTTCCCATCCCTTTCAGGAATGGGTCCATTCAAGCCCTTCCCTACTTAGTGGGGCTGGACCATTGTCCCCACCACAAGCTGGTGCCAGCCCCGCTCTGTGTCCTCTAAAGTCCCCAGTTTGCAGTCAGCTGCTCCCAGAGCTTTTCTGGCCACCCTTCCCCACTGTCAATTCCCATTTGTTACATATTTCATGATCACCATGAAATCTTTTTTGGCACCATTGTTACTTTTTTCCCTTCTGAGTATCCATTTGGACAGAGTTTGCTGAGTTTCTGGACTCACACACACACACACACACACGCAGAGGTTTTGTGAAAATTGTCTAAAATAGGATTTTTTTTGCAGTCTTTTGACATCTGTGGCCGTGTGGGAAGTGTGAGGAAGGCGCTGAAGGTGCTTTGCACTCCCCAGGTAAGGAGTGCAAAGGTAGAGGAGCAGTTTCAGAGGTGGAACCTTGCCCCTRCTGGGTGATAAAATTGAAAATTGCTTCTTGCATCAGGACCTCAGGATAAATAAATGTGTTATCCCATGGCTGGACAAGCTGGGATCTCCTGTCAGGGATGTCAGGAGCCTTTCCTGACATCTGCCCTGCCCCAGCTGTGGGGAGAGACAGTTCCTGAGCTCTGTGTAATGTGGGTTAATCCAGCTGCAAGGAGCTGACAGAACTTTGTAGCACCGAGTGTGGGAGGGACTTTGTGGTGCCTGAAATGCAGTGACATTAAAAGGGACCCTGCAGTGCTCGGGGATTATCCCAGGCACTGCACTGCACAGCGCTGATATTCAGATCTGCTGCAGTCACATATTGAAAGGATGAAATCAAAGACTGCAGAGGAAAAGAACTCATCGAAATTTGTTAGAGCTTATCTTGCTTATTCCCTGGGCCTGGTGTGGTCATTTTTCCTCAGCAGGTTTCTGAGCAGGTTTTGGTTTTGGTTTTTTTTTGGTTGGTTTTTTTTTCTGTTTTGTTTGTTTGTTTTGGGTTTGGGTTTTTTTGGGGTTTTTTTTGGGTTTTTTTGGGGTTTTTTTTGGGGGTTTTTTGTTGGGTTTTTTTGTTTGGTTGGTTGGTTGTTTTTTAATTTTTCTGATTAGGGAATAGCAGATTTCTCTAGCCCTAACCCTAAATCTGTTACAATGGGAGAGGCAACATTGACCTTCCCTGTATCTAATGTGGGCAGCCTGTGGGTGCTGCTGCTGTTACTCTTTCTTCCATTGTCTACTTGCTGATAACAATAACAATATTAATAATACCTCGATCTATCTGAACACCCCTGCAAATGGTGCTGAATTAATCCCCTCAGCTCCCTGCTGAGCTCATTAAATTCCATTATCCTTTCTGCACAAGTGGAGGCCCTGGAAGATGGAGTCAGCTGGAGGGGAAAGGCAAACAGGGAGCACAGAGCTCCAGCCTCCCTCAGTGCCCAGATCCCGACCAGCACCGGTGTCCTTGTGGGGGATCTGGGGGTGAAAAGCTGTGTCTGTGCATATTCACCCTTCCAATCCTTTGCCATTGTTTTTTTTCCCCTCCTCTCCCTAACAGAACTATGGAGTCCGTGCCACCAGCCAGCAGTGCAGTGAGGCAGGAGACATCTGTGCCATTTGCCAGGCTGAGTTCAGGGAACCTTTGATCCTCATGTGCCAGGTAAGACCCCAGAACTGCCCTGCTGGTGTTCCTTTGGTGAACTCCTGCAGAGGAAAGAGGCACAGCCAGCCTGGGAACTCCTGAAGCCTTTTGGTGGGTTTGGATCCAGCTCCTGGTGGATTTTTAGTTCTGGATAACCRGTGGATCATGGCAGCTTTGGGGTGACCATGGCTGTGGGATGGGCACAGCCTTGTGGGGCAGGGCCTGCCGTGGGCAGTGCAGATGCTGGATCTGGGTGCAGCAGTGTTTTCCCTGCTCTTGAGTGGCTTTAACACTCCCTTTTGATAACAGAGTTATCAAATTAAAGCCATCCTGTGCATCAAAGGTGCCTCTGAGCCTTGCTGTGAACATCTGTGCAGATGTTTCTGTGCTGGAAGCCCCAGAGAAGCTGCTTTTGGATCTGCTTGGCAGGGCTGGGACTCTGAGCAGTGACATTTCTGCTGACTCCACAAGTGTGGAGGAGTTCTCAGCTTCTCCCAGCTCCTCATTCTCCCTCTTTGCTCTATTCCTGCTCTTCCAGCCTGGGACTGGGTGGTGTGTGCTGGACAGGATCGGGGAGGGCTCAGTGTAGWAATGAGAGGAGATAAAGGGTGAAAAGTGAGATTTATGGTGAAGGGGAAACTGGGGCTGGGCAGTGGGAACAGAATAAAGGAAATGCAAGGAGCAGGGGCAGAAAGGGGTTGTTGGAGCTGGGTAAGGATTTCAATAACTCAGGGAACTGAGGGTGGAAACATAAAAAACCCTGTCAGCTTCTCTGAACCCAGGTGTTGCAGGCTTTGGAATGTCTCTTTCTAGTGTTGTTACTAAAACTAGAGTGATCACCCATCAGCTTTGGCCRGCTGGGGTTGATTTGCCCACCCTGTGTCACCTCCCCGTGCCGCTGGTGACGGTGCCTTTGTCCCCAGCACGTGTTCTGCGAGGAGTGCCTGTGCCTGTGGTTTGACCGGGAGAAGACGTGTCCGCTGTGCCGCTCGGTCACCGTGGAGACGCTGCGCTGCTGGAAGGACGGCACCACCTCCGCCCACTTCCAGGTCTACTGACACCGGGCACGGAGCAGGAGCGGCTGGAAACCCCAGCACCCCGTGCCCCTGTGCTTTGGTTGCCAGTCTTTCCTCCAGAACGATTGTGACTGGCCAGAAACTTTATCCTCAAGGGCAGGGAAGGTGTGGGTTGTGTTGTGGCAAACTCCAGGATTTTTTTGGAGCTTGCATGGTTGTGCAGTGTCTGGGATGTTCTCATTTTCCTGTCCTTTTAGTGGGACAAGCACTGCATGTCCAGGGCAGGGGACTTGTGACTGCATGTGCTGAACAAAGCTGCCCTCTGGCTCTGGCTCTGCATTCCCTGAATCCATAACTTTAATAAATAAATAAATAATAACTAGAACTACCCAGCACCTCTCCTGGAGAACTCTTCCCAAGCAGTGCTTTCAGAACCTCATGTCCAAAGTTGTAATTGTAAAAATGRCATTTCCCAGCTGCCCTGGTTTTTYTCCAATYGATCCCACAWATGGCACGTGCTGGCACCRTAATAARATCACAGGGAACGTGGAAAGGACCACACCAGTGAAGCTGGAAGTGACACTTCCTTTCCTTGGGAYTGTTTTTCTCTTTAATTTTCCTGATTACACTTTCTGATTTCCCAGTCTGTGGAGAGAGCAGCGGGAGGTTAAAGTCCAGTTGGGTTTGTCTGGGTGGAAATCCAGCTCCTGACCAAGAGAATCTCAAATGTCTCTGCCCTGTGCTCCWTAGCCAGGACCAGCCTGGTTTTAGAAAGCATTTTTCCATTTTGGAAATACAGAAAGAAATTTGGAAAGAAAAATTCCCTGGAAATTTTCCCAGGGAAAACCAGAGCCTTGAGYTTCAGCAGGAGCTCCTGGAGGAAGGAGATCCCTGAGGAATTAACAGGAATCACCACCAGCCCTGTGGCCAGGTCTGAGCTCCTCCAGCAGCAGCTGCTCTTTCTTCTGGAGCTTTCCCTGTCCCCAAAGCACCTCAGTCCCACCGTCAGGAACTGCAGCATCTCCCCAGCTCATTGCCATGGCAATGGCTCAAGGTGACAGCCCCACCTGAGCCGTCAGCAGAGGAGCCTCCTGGGGGAACGGGGCYGTGTCTGTGCTGATGGGAACTCCACAGGGGAAGAATTAAAGCAAAAGGGAGCTGATTTTGGAAATAACAGTTGAGTGTGGCTGAGGAGGAATGGGRAGAGGCCAAATGTGGCTTGAGAGATCCAGGGAAGCACAGGAGGAAAAGCTTCACTTCTCAAAACAAAGGGATGTCAAATTCTTGTCAAATGGATCCTGTGGAAGTGGAGAACTAAGCTAAGGAATCTCATTTCTCTCTACAATGGGAATAGTTTCCCCAATCTTTGGGATAGGGGAAGAGTTCAGAAAGGCAGGAATCRAGCTTTTCATTGGCCATAAAAATGTGTGATGGGCTGGAATATTCAGCAGGAAAAGGGGAAAGGAGCGATTCTGTGGGCAGGGAGTGTCCCAGTTTGCAGTGCCACTGAACCCAAGGGTTGGTGTTCCTGCTTTCAAACTGTTTGAAAAGCCTCTTCTCATTCTGAATGTTTCCTAAATACTCTGGAAAAYGTGTTTGGAGAAGTGGGAAAAGGGCAGTAGGAGCCCAGCTCCATAGAAAGCATGGGGATATGCTGCTTCAAAATCCAGTTTTTATGTGGTGATAAGGCAGGAAACCAAAGGGAAAGTTTTGGGGATTTTTTTTTATCCTAAAACATGATACTTGGATCAGGAAACATCCAGGAGAAACTTCAGTTCCAATGACAGCTGCTGGCAACCTGTTGCTTTCTGTGGGAAAACAGGGAAGGCTGGTGGAAGGAAATTCCCCTGTGAGAGGAAATAAAACCCGGAGCCTTTTTTCGCCATTGAACAGTTATTTTTCTTTTTTTTTTAATAAATTCCTTATAAATATGTACAAAGAGTCTCAGCATATGAAATTCCTTTTACAAAAGAGAGAAGCCCCATCCAGCCAGGAGCGGGAGCCTCCTGGAGCTCCAGGARCTCCGAGCACAGGCCCTGCCCTTGCTTTGGTGAAGGGGAAACCTGCACAGTGACCCTGCTGGATCAAAATCCCAATGGTTCTGGATCAACAAAACACCAGGGATTGGGAATTCCTGCCTGTCATTCCCTTAGCAACGCCCTGGGAGAGAGGGGAACTCACAGAGTCCTCGGGACTGACGAGGATGGGGAGGGTTTTGGACTGGAAAAGGGATGCTGTAAAAAYCCAGGGAATGAAATCCCCACTGCAGCTGGGTTTGCTCTGCTTGGTGCCACCTGTGACCACTGATGGAGTGACCAACAAAGGGTGTAACTAATAATGGTGTAATTAATAAAGGTGTAACTAATAATGGCCATTTAATCCTCAGATGCTTGCAGTSAGTATTTATCAAGCTCCAAAATCACTTCCTGAAAATATGAAAAGCCTTGGGAAATTCAAGCACTCCACTAATTCCCACAGTGGACACTGAAGTCACATCAAAATTCCCTCCTGTATTCAAATAAATATTGTCAGGGAGCAATATTCAGCTGTTTGTATTCTGTGGTGCAGAAACCCAAGGCAGGAGCAGCAGTGAGGATCCCTGCTCTCCTCTGGCTGGTCYTAAGGAAGCCCAATTCCCACAGTATTTACAATTCCCTCAGCCCTTGGATCTGGAATTGGCACGGCCAGAGTCTCCTCACTGCTGTGGTGAGATGGARAGTTCAGCTCACACACAGCAAAGTTTCACAAGAACGAGGCTGAGGTGGAAGCCTGGATCAAAAATCCAATTTGCTGGGAGCAAAGTGGCTCCAAGGAAAGTCGTGCACCTGCTGGGGAGCTGGGATACACCCAGGAGGGTTGGAYATGGACAACACTGAGTGTCCAGGATTTCCTCTGGAGCCACATGTAGTTTGTTCAGGCGAGATCAGGGACAGGTGTTGTGTAGGAAAATTGAATATTAAGGCAGATGTGCTACTCTGTCCTCATCAAGGGCCACTTCTCACTGGGCAGTGCAGTTTTCCAGCTGGGAAGTGCCTCATTCCAGGYTGTGTGTGAACACAGAGACTGCACCAGTTTAACCAGTTCAGTTTGTGATGGATTCCCAGAGCAGGTATTGCTTCTGCTCATGCTGAGGGTTTAAGACCTTTGTAACTTTACTGTGATGTAGGAACAAAACAAACTCACAAATCAGATGGAATTGATCCAAGAAGTGTTTGGGATTTAAGGGAATTGGTTCAGCAATGGGCTTGGCTCCATGAGGAATTCCTGCATTCCTGCTCTGAAGTAGGAGTGGGATGGCATTGTCACCCCTCCTCCCTGACAATTCCCCCATTTGGGTGATTTGGGATGTTGGGATTGGCTGCTGCCCCTCCTGTGCACACTAAGGTGTGTGATACAAGGCCTGGGCCCATTCCARGCTTTTTTACCTGCTGGAAAAAATCCTAAGGGAGAAGAGGAAGGAATGTGGAGCTCATGGGCCAATCCCTGCCCTGGTGTAACCCAGCAGTGCTGCCCAGGGTTCACCTGGCCAAAGGAGCTGTTTGGGCAGGGGGCAGAGGAGCTGAGCAGCAGCCCCCACCAAAGGAAAAGGATCCCTTTCACCTTGGAATTTGGAATTCCAGGTTGTGCTGGGAGCTGTCTCCGGCRGAGAACTGCTTTAAAAATTCATGAAGCCTTCCCTGCCAGTGCTCTGCTCAGACTATGAGCTCATAACTGCGCTCTCCTCRCTGCTGAAACCCGAGAGGGCTCTGTTTCCCATCCGGAGAGCCCTCCCTGCTCTTCCCAGCTGACCAAACCCAGGGCTYGCTGGGCTGCTGTGAGGAACAAAAGGGCCAGAGGGGAGCTGTGCCGGTTTCCCGCCCACAGGGGGAACAGGGAATTTCCAGGGAGTTCACAGCACCCTTCCCTTTCCATGCWAACACCAACCAGGGGCAAAGCAGGTTTTGTAGAAAGGATAAAAACACCCCTTGTGAAAAAACGGAGGCGTTCAAGGATAGCAATTACACCACAAAATGTAAGGCTTTGACAMATCCCAACCCTCCAATAAGGAATTCCAGTTCTGTACAGGGAATTCYGGCTACAAAACAACTTCCCCCGCGGTTCATGCGAAACATCCAGTTTGGAACTACAAAAGTGAAGCAAATCAGGACCAAGGCAGGGTTTGGGGTACCGGACCTGGTTTCCACCTGGGAATCACCATAGATGGGGTTGTTCCATGGTGGGCAGGACAAGTCTTGAACATTTTTTGCTGACTGTTTGGAGCCCCTGAGGAGATCAATCCCCTGGGAACTCTGAGGTTTGGGAATTTTTTACAGACAAGCCTGCCCACAGAGGGTGAAGAATGAGGGTGATCAKCCAATCCCTGCACTGGGGCCGATCACAGATTTGGGGGCTCTCCCRAGGTGGCAAGGACAGAAGTTCCTTTCCTTTTCCTTGGCTGTGCTGTTCCRAGGGAATTGAAACCCTGGGAGCAGCCTGAGGCTGCAGCCCCCACAGCAGGAGAACCAAGGGCAGTGCCAGCTGTGTGCACAGGGAAAAGGGAATAATGCCTCTTCCAGGAGAGAAGTTTCTTACATTCAGAACTGCTAAAGGTGAGGGATCTGTGGGAGAGCCTGTGAGGGATGTCCCCCTGCTCCTGGCCTGTCCCAGGGCTGGGAATGTGTGGGACAGAGCTGTCCCCTACAGCCAAAGTGTCACATCCATGATTCCCATCCAAGTGGGACTTGTGCGATTCCACACACACAATTTCACTCCCACATTCCAGGGATTTGCAGAAATGGGTATTTTTAAGGCTCTGCCCAGCACTGGCAGCACTGCTGGAATCAGCTGAGGCTCCTCCTTTTGTTAGAAGAATTGTTTCTGTAGGAGACTGAGCCGGGAAGGGGTTCAGGATGCTGAGGATTACTGAGCATCAGGTCAAACACAGCAGGGAAATGTTTCACAGGTCCCTGTGGCTCTGAGACCATCCAGGGCTATGGACAGACACAGTACACGGAGCTACACTCCCCTCCCAACACTKCACTCACCTAGGGCAGGGCAGGGCTCTGCACTGGGAGCAATCTGCTCCTCCAGCACAGCCCCTGCTGCTGTTTGGGAATGGACTCGGATCAGTAACACCCAGGAAAATGTGTGCAAGGGCTCAAAATGCTGCAGGGAATATTTGACAAAGGGAGAATTTTGCTTTCAGATCGCTTAGAAACCTTTCTCCTGCAGCAGTGGCAAATGCAGGGTCTGACGTGACACCGTGGCTGGGTGAGGGGTGGGAAATGTTTCTAAAAGACAARGAGCCAAATTTCCTTTAGAAATCGGGTTCTAACATTACTTTATACCTTTGAAAATGCCCTCCCTGCCATGGCAGGGTCAATTCTCAGGTGGAAATGTCTGAAGGTAGGAAAAATGTTTCTAAAAAACTGTGCACAGTCACTGCTGTATGYGGAAGGTACCCAAAATCTGACAGGTAGTTTTGGCTGCAAGGAAAAAAGTGCTCAGTACTAGACTGAAA